AAAACAAAAAAACAAAACAACTCTCTTCAGCATTACTGCCCCTTCATCAGCCTGGAAACTTTTTCACTTTTCTCAAGGCCACTATCTGGTTAACTATCCAGCTTCTTCAACTATTTCTCTCAAAGCATTTATTTGTATGGTGTTGGGACTGAACTGAACACAGGGCCTTGTGCATATCAGACAATTGCTCTACCACTAAACTACTTTAGAGATCCCGCTGTGTCAGAGACACCAGCACCCAAGACTACTTAAGTCCCTCATCTCACCACCACCTAGCTTCTGGTCCGTATTTATGTGCTGGCATGCAGCTGGGACTTCGTTTCTAGTTACTGGTGGGCTATTTGTGCCTGTGTATAAATCTGTCACCAGGCTGGGATACATTGTTCTTTTTGTCTGTCTGTCTTCAGCCTCCCCAGTGTACATTCTGCTTGCTGCATCGCAGCCTGTGTTAGAACCTCCTTCCCTAGATGACTTTCTAGTGGCTGCCTGCCCCTGCCTTCCCTTTCTCCAAGGCGGGAGCCATTCTATGCTCTGCTGCCCAGATTATCTTGAAATTACTGGGCACGTCGGGGAGGAGAGCTGAGAAAGCTCAAGTGATATCCCTACGATTAGTGCTGTTTCCAGAAGACACTGTACTAGGCCCTCGCTGGCCCCATGCCCCTCCTGGTCACTTGGCCAAGTTTAGTACACATCAGGTTTTTGTTTTTTTCTTCTTTTTTCTGGCTTTTCAAGACAAGGTTTCTCTGTGTTACCCTGGCTGTCCTGGAACTCATAGTGTAGACCAGGCTGGCCTCGAACTCAAGAGGTCCACCTGCCTCTGTCTTCAGAGTGCTGGAATTAAATGTGTGCACCACCAAAGCCTGGCATTATTTTTATTTGAGACAGGGCCTCTCTATGTAGTCCTGGCTGGTCTGGAACTCACTATGTAAGGGGCTCAAAGTCAGAGTTCTGTTTGTCTGACTCCTGAGTGCTGGGATTAAGGTTATGCACACACCTGGCCAGTATATATGCTTTTAATCAGGTCTTCTCTGCCCGTGTAGTCTAGGCAATCTCGACTTCCACAAATAGGCCATCTGCCCTCTAGTTTATTTTGTTCTAAGATTGCTTTTTTGTCCCAAGCTCAGGGAGTGTGTTTTTTAAACACCTTCAGCTTCCAGTGCTTTGCTCAAGGCCACAAGAACCAAGTCTACTCTATGACCTGCCTCCCCTTTCAGCGACCCCCACAGCATGGTAGCCGAGCATGGAAATCTCCCCTCCAGGGACTAAACAGGCTCGTACAGTGGTGTCCTGCAGAGAAAGCATCAATAAATGCTTACTGCGGACAACCTCCTCTATAAAAAGTTCCTTTGCCTGGGTTTGAACTGCCCACTTTGGCACCTTAACTGCCTAGTATTGCCTGTGGCTGGTGGGCACTTTTTCTTCTGCTCTGGGTCCAGCCTAGACTCAGCTGATGGGGACTGGATCGCTCGGCCTTTCCCACAGCTGTTTTCAAACTTAAGATAAACTCAGAGCTCTTAGTGGCCATTAAAGATGCAGTTTTCTGATTCGGTGAGTAGTGGGACTCAGGAATCCGCATTTTAGCACCCTGGACTGGTCTACATTCCTGGGAGGGCTGTCCCACTTGGGCAGGATTATTTCCTGCAATTATTAGCTAAACATTGCACACAGCTGAGGAGAACCAGAAAAATACCCTTTTGTTTCTGGGCACCTCACTTGGCAGGTGTAACATTCTGACCGGGCTACTTGCCACAGGTGCACGCGCCCCACGTGGTCCTTCGGGAGTGTCATCTCAGCCCCGACCCAAGCCCCTCCAACCCCAGCAGCTGTGGCCCTCCTTCCCACCCCTTGTTTCCCTTTCCTCCTAGTCCCTGCCCCCTCCCACAACCCTTGCCCAGAATATTTTATTGTTCTGGCTAAGTTTTCCCTGCGGGATGGGGGTAGGGGAACCACTGGCTAGACGGACAGGATGTTCTCCATTCATCCTGTCCTACTGAATGGGCAATTTTTCCACCTGAGAAAGCCCTGTATTTTCTACCAGAGATATGGGCAGCGGCCCCTCTCTGGAACTTAGTTGGAGAGAGATGTCACTCCTAAGAGACCCCGTCTCTGTAAACATCCCGAAGCAGGCCCAACCTGCCATTCCTTTGTTGGGGCCGAGGGAATGTAATCTTACCGATAAGGCAAGGAAAGCTTGCCAAGAAGAACAAGCACGGCCCACCCTTCTCCCTCTGGCCTCCACGCACCCTACACTTAACCGGGGAAGGGAGGGGAAAGAAAGCACCAACAAAAGAGTTCAAGATAGCAATTCCCAGCTTGTTCAAATACGAAGCGTTTTTAACCAATCCATTTTTTTAATTCTTAAATTCTTGACATTACAGAACTAAACTGAAATTTATTAACATTCCACTCTTACATTTCTTATCGACAAACAGAAATAAAATCCATGAGCCAAAAAAACCCAAACAAAACTAAAAACAGGGAAAAGCTTATAAAACTAAATATGGATCCCAGCATTAACAGCTGAACAGAGAATGTGATTTTCTTTTTAAATTCTTAGCGGATGATAAAGTGTAGAAACTGAACACTTACAAATTATTTAAAACCTGGAATCACTGACCAGAAATTACACAGTTGGATCATGGGAAAACAGCAGAAGGGGGTTACGAGCGAACCTACTCTGTTCTAGCTGCACCCCATGCCCTTCTCAGAGGAAAGCCTGGCATTGATTAGATACTGGGCCAGGCTAATACTGGCAGCCGAGCCAGTGATAGTGACCTGCCTTCCAGAAGAGCCTTCCACCGGGTTGGCAATTTTGATCTGGGCCCCGGACATCTGGCGGATCTCATTGATGTTGGCGCCTTGGCGCCCGATTATGCAGCCGATTAAGTTATTTGGAATGGTGAGTTCATGGGTGGTTTGAGTAGATGCATCCAAACTTGCCCAATAGCCTTTCACCTCTGGAGAGCTGGAGTCAATTCCGGCGAATCCCGTCCCGCCGTGCATCATGGCAAAGTGAGACTGTTGTCTTGCCACCTGGTTCAGCTTGGCCAGATCGAGCGGAGAAATGGTGTGTTGTCCTTGAATCGAGTAGGCGTCTAGAGGTGGTCCCTCCAGGTCGTGGGTGGCGTGGGGGTAGCCCGCCGCGTCGCTGCAGCGATCTTGGCCGCCCGCGCAGATGACTGGCGAGCTGGCCGGCATGGGCTGGTACGGGATGGTCATGACTCTCCCTTGCGGAGACTGGGAGAGCGTCTCCAGCATGACCAGGCAGATCTGCTTGACACACTCGGTGACCGACTGCGGCACGCCGGCGATAGTGATGGCCCGCTCGGTCGAGTTGGGCAGCATATCCCCCGCCACCTGGACCTGGGCCCCCGTGCTCTCGCGGATCTCCTTGATCTTGCAGCCGCCCTTGCCGATCAGGGAGCCACACTGGGTGGCGGGCACCACCAGCCGGAGGGTGACCGGGGGCCGGCTGGCCGCCGTACTGTTGGTCATGGAGCTGTTGATATCTTCCTCCAGCTTGTCGATGATCATGGCGAAGGCCTTAAAGATGGCATTGGTGGGCCCGGTCAGCGTGATGATTCTCTCCGGGCAGTTCCCCTCCGAGATGTTGATCCGCGCGCCGCTCTCCTCGCGGATCCTCTTCACCGACTCCCCTTTCTTCCCGATGATGCTGCCTACTTCCTTTCCGTGCATCAGCAGCCGAATGGTGAGAGTCACGTTGAGTCCGCTTTCGGTCACACCGGCGTCCATGGCGAGCGGCGGGCGGCGTTCGGGAGTTGGGCTCGTTACGTGGTCAAGTCCTGGGCGGCTGGCGGGGGAGGGGAGGAGTAGGCCCGAACTGCCGGCGCGAG